CTGGACTCCTGTACCTCGTTAGTCTCATTTGGTTTTACGGGGCTGTCCACTCCCAGGCTGAACAGTGAACCTTGGAGGTAACTTCACCACTGAGCTAAAAGGGGGCCTTGACGCTAATTTACTTTCTCTGTCTGTGATTTGCCTCTTTGAGACCTTTCATGTAAGTGCATCATGCGCAACATGTCCCCTTTATGTCTGCCTTACTTCACTCTGCATCGGGTTCTCAAGCTTCTCTTTATGGCTGAGTAATATTCCGTTGTATGTCTGTTGTTAATATTTTGGTATATTATTTTAGTTCTAGATTTCTATGCAGATATGTAGCTATGCTTTCATATCATGTTTTTCTCTGTGGTGTTATGAGCATTTCCATATAATTAAAAATTCCTCAGAAACCACATTTTTTTGAGTGAAAATACGTGTCATAATTTATTGAACAATTCCCCAGTTGGATGTTTAGGCTGTATTTCAATCTTTTAAATAAGGCAAGGATGGAACATCCTTGTATATAAAAATGTAAGGCCATCTCTAATTATATGAAAGGTCTGTTTCTTGAACTGTCTTGTTTAGCTCAGTTTCTTTGGAAGGATTCTGTTACTAATGTAAAACATGGCCACTGGGAGTAGGACCTTATCGACATAAACCCTGGCACCCCTAAAGGGGGTTCCTAGTTCCCAGACAGTGCTGTTCTGGCCCCAGGTTTGGGGGATGTAGGGATGCTCCCCACTGCGATGAATCCCTTCAACCCTGAGGCTCTGGCTGTGGCTTTTTACACCGCTGTTAATCACAGGATGGTCCCTTCCTTGGCCTTTCAATTAGAAGTCACAAAGCCCTTCCATGCCCTGACGTCAGCTGCACTCCCTTAGGTCAGCCTCCCAAGCAGGTGACATCCTGTTCTGTAGTTGCTCATTCCCATGTCACAGATGAAGAAATGGAGCACAGAGAGGTTATGTAGCTTCTGCACACCCTTCAGCTGAACCAGCGTCTTGCCCGTCAGGGCTTCTGTCTCCAAGTGTGTTCCTCTGTCCTCCACATCACGCTTGCTCCCAGAGGGCTTGGCATTGTGCTGTTCAGTAAACACTGGGAAAGCTCTCGCTTACCGCACCCTCCGCAGGTCCAGAGGCCTGCTCCCTGCTTCACAGTCCCAGTCATGCTGGGGAGGCCACGAGCGGCAGAGACAGGACGTCACTGAGTCAGGTGTCAAAGCCGCCGCAGCGTCATCAGCACCCGCAACCCGCTGTGATGTCAGCTCAGTGGGTCTGCCTCCTTGGGGCTCAGGGCTTGTGTCAGCCGCTGGCACTCGTGCCTTGCGTAGGTCACAGTGTCAGTTTTGATAACACGGCACATCCTGTGCGCGTGTGGACGGCACTTGCTGCTGAGTGCTGGTTGAAATGCTTTGTCTCCTCTCTTCAGGACCGCTATGGCTCCTAATGCTGACTCACGGCGTGTCTTCTGGAGAAGTTCCCCTTAAAACGAACCAGAGGCCACAGCACAGGCTGCAGGGAAGACCAGACGGCCCTGCAGATTGTCTTGCTGCTTTTTCACCTAGTATATTATACACATTTCCAGTTTTTAATCTTTCTTTGAGAAATTCTCGTTTTTGATGTAGTAGAAGCTTCGTTCTGTTCGCCTTTCTCCCGGCACGTGCCCTCCTTTGGTGTGGACAAGCAGACCTTGCTTTGCTTTCTTGCTATTTTTGGTTCCAGCAACAGCTGGGGCCTGGAGACCCCGGCTCCCCTGAGTGAACACTGGCAGCCTTTGCTTCCGGGGCTCCGTGCTAGGTGGCTCCCGGAAGCAGCGACGCTCCTCGGGCCTGAAGAGACACCACTCACAGACATGTATTTCATTCCAAAGGGAGCAAAGAATAAAAACAAAATACCAGAATGACTGGTGTGTAATTCGACAGGCTGCTTCATTGTACGTCCACGTACTAAGGTGATTTTAAAACAATATTTATTTAAGGTCATCATCCCTTTGTAAATTGTTTATTTTGTATGATCCATAAGTTTAAAAATATCTTTCAGTGAGTGTTTTAACAAATCTAAACTTTCACATTGACTAGGGAATTCACTTTGTCTTCCGATGAGGTGCGGCTGTTTGAGTTTAAGAGAAATATAAGGAGAGAACCCCCTCAGTGCGTTAGAAGTCGGCATACTGTACAGAACTGAAGTTGGTTAAAGCGAGCCATCCGACCCACCATTTCAGTATATGGGGAAGGAGCAGGGGTAATTGGGTAGTTTTGCTAATATTTTTTGTCTTAATCTTGGTTTTCAAAAAATTACAGAATGTGTATAGTGAATAAAGAAAAATAATCTGGCTGTGTTTTAGACAGCATAGAATATATTGTTCAGTATAGTAAAATATATTTGAAATTTAATGAACTGAAAATGTGATTTCAACTGAATATTTTGTGAATTTTTCTTAACAGCTCCAATTTGTAGACTTCTAAATATAATAAAAAGTTGCAGCAGATTGTGTCCCCTGTGTTTTTTACATAAAGCTTTTGTAGTAACTCCCAAACCAGTGCGGTGGTTTATGGGGAGGGGTGTACATTTGAATTAAGGTGGGATCACAGATGGTCTGTCCGTAATGGGTGTCTGGGGCCTGATGTGCAGTTGTCGTTATCTGGGAGTGTTCTTGTTGAAATGAGGGTCTGTAGGGCACCAGGAGCCCTGATGGCGCAGTGGTTGAAGTGCTCGGCTTCTACCTGAAAGGTCAGTGGTTCAATCCCACCAGCCGCTCTGCGGGAGGGCAGTTCTACTCTGTCCTGTCGGGTTGCCATGAGTCAGAATGGACTCGACAGCAAGGGGTTTGGTTTTTGGGTTTAGGGCAGCCCCCTGTGGTGGGGCCTCGTGGTCACCCCGGGAGGTAGGGTGTCTTTCATCCCCACACGTTGAGCCAGCCTGGGGCCTGGAGTTCTCATTCCCTCTCTCTCTCCCAGAAACCCTCGGGGCAAGTTATGTTCTTGTTTTACAGAGGGGGTGAGTGAGGCTGAGACTGAGGCCACTGGCCAAGCCCACCCCTCTGACTCTGCTTTTTCCTCTCATTGAACTTCTCCCCTGGAGGGCCCTGGCCTCCTTCAGGGTCCAGCCTTCAGAGAGGACCTGGCGCTAAGTGCTTTACCTGCGCAGGGCCCCTTCCCTCCACTGCAGAAAGGTGCTGGCAGGACCCCCGTCAGGTGGCCTTGTCCGTGTGCATGCGTGTGAGTGTGTGTATGTACACGTGTGCGTGGGTGCATGCGTGCCTGTGAGCGTGTGTGCGTGTAGAAGTGTGTGTGTGGGTTTAGTTTGTGTTGTTGGCCCATTTAGCTTGGGCCTTGGCGTCTTGTAATCAGTTTGCACAAGTGCTTCATATATTAAAGATGTTAGTGAATATTTGTTTTAAGTAACACATTTTGGATCTCCTGGTTAAAAAAGAAAATAGCACTATGACAATCCAAAGACCTGGTGTCCAGGCACAGCACCCAGAGGTGCTGCCAGGACTCACCCCGTGTTGCGAGCCCTTGGGGCCACCCCAAGCCATCTGGTAGGGAGGCCTGGGGGTCTGGGGGGAGGCTGGGCAGTGACCTGAGCTGCAGACCCAACACTGAGCTGGATCTGCCCTGGGACCCCGGGCTCAGAGCAGGCAGCTTCCGATCCTGGGGAAACCGGCGTTGGCCAGCCGCCTGGAGAAGGGTGTTTATTGTGCTTTTCTTCTTGGGAGCAGAGCTGAGTAGGGGCCGGGTGATATTTCGGAGGGAGCCCGTGGATTGGGCAGGTGCAGGAGGGGAGGAGAGGGCTCTTGGTTTACATAGCCTTTACCAGGAACGAGTTCTCTTTTAAAAGGCAGCATTTTTCCACCATCTTAAACCGCTGTTGGGATGCAAATGAATGGCAAAAATAGTTGGAGAGAAAGGAGCGGGACAGGCTCTGGAGTGAGCTCTGACCCCCAGAGAGAAAGGAGCTCACGGGAGCCAGGGCCTGGGGCCGGCTCTGTGGGAGCTATGAGCTGGGCCACAATGCCAGCAAGCATGCTGACAGTGAGGACACAGACGTCCCTCGGCTGGGGTGGTCAGAGCCCAGGGGCCTGAAGGTGTCCAGCCCAGAGCCCTCGGCCCTCCCTGTGCGTTCTGCTGCCTCCACACCCCAGTCAGGACCTCAGTATGCACCAGATGACCCCACTCTGTCTCCTCCAGCTGGACTAACCCACACCTCGAACTGAAGGCCGCCACACCCGGGCTCCTGGCCGCCTCCTCCCCCCAGCACCTGCCCCACCCACAGTCCTTCATTTCAGCCTTCTAGATGTTCAGGCCGAAAACCTCGGGGTCAAATCTGACCCTCCCTCACAGCCAGCGCCACCTCCAGAATGCACCCAGCGTCTGACCACATCCCTCACCACCCCGCTGCCACCCTGTGCCCAAGCCCATGTCTGCGGTGTCCCCCCCCCCCGGGGAGCAGCCCGTCACCGGGTGGGGGTCGGTTTCTCTCAGAGCACTGCCAGGGTCCTTGCGGTGGCCTTGAGCCCTTGGAGCCCCTCTCCTCGCCTCTCAGCAGCCCCCTTCCTTCCCCGGCTAGCTCCCTGGCAGCCACGCTGGACCATGCTGGCTCAGTCTCTCTCAGGGTCCCGCTCCTGGTCAGGCGACTACCTGCCCTCACCCACTTCATGGCTTTGCTCAAATGTCACCTTCCCAACGACCCGGATGGCCCTTTTCAACATTGCAGCCCTCCCGCCCTGCACTTGCAGCCCCCCAGTCCTGCTCTGTCTCCCTTTTCCCGTAACACCTGAGGCTTCTCCCTTCCCATCAGTCCACTCACTTGTTTGATGCCTGGTGTCTCTCTTGCCCCGTTAGAACATCAGCTCCATGAGAAGAGAGACCGTACTTCTCTTGTTCCCTGATGTGTCCCACATGCCTAGAACTGGGCCTGGCACACACCAAACAAAAAACCCACTGCCATCAAGTCAATTCCGACTCTTAACCACCCTATAGGATAGAGTAGAACTGCCCCCATAGGGGCTATAAATCTTTATGGAAGCAATCTGCCACCTCTTTCTCCCACGACAAAGTGGCTGGTGGGTTCAAACTGCCAACCTTTCAGCCAAGCGATTAAATACTGCGCCACCAGGGCTCGGCTCCTTCTGTTTGGCACACAGTGGGGTCCTTAACCAATATTTTTTTTCTTTTTATGGTAAAATATGTAACATAAAAGTTTAACCATTTTCAAGCGTGTCATTCAGCGACATCAATTACATTCACCATCTTGTGCAACCATTAACCAAAAAAAGCAAGCCATTGAGTGTATTCCGACTCATAGCGACCCTGCAGGACAGAGTAGACCTGCCCCACAGGGTTTCCTAGGAGCAGCTGGTGGATTGGAGCTGCTGACCTTTTGGTTAGCAGCTGAGCTCTTAACTGTTGTGCCACCAGGGCTACGTGCAACCATTACCACCATCTATTTCCAAAACCTTTTCATCATCCTCCCAAACAGAAACTCAGTGTCCCTTAAGCAATAACTCCCCCTCTCTCTCACCCCCAGTGACCACAAATTGATTTTGGTCTCTAGGTGTTTGCCTGTTCTAGAGATTTCAGGTAAGTGGGATCCTACGATATTTGCCCTTCTGTGTCTGACCTATTTCACCTGGCATCGTGTTGTCAAGGTTCATCCCTGTTGTAGCGCATCTCAGGACCTCGCTTCTCGTTATGGCTGAGTAATCTTAACGGAAGTTGTGGATGAAAGGATTCCATCCTCCTGAAGGTCCCTGGGTGGCACAAGTGGTTTGCGATCCTCTACTAACCTAAAGGTTGGTAGTTCAAACGCACCCAGCAACGGCATGGAAGACAGATTTGGTGATCTGCTTCTGTAAAGATTACAGCCAAGAAAACCCCATGGGAAAGTTCTACTCTGTAGCACACAGGGTCGCCATGAGTTGAAATTGACGGCAATGGGTTTGGTTTTTGGTTGGACACCCCCCTGAGACGTAATGTGCCATGTGGCAGGTGAAGATGCTGATGTTCAGAGGGGCAGGGACACGGGTGACGTGGGGCCTCGAGCTAGGACCCCGCAACCCCTTGCACTCCTGTTTCAGGCCCTTTTTTCAATTCTCTTAAACCATCAAACACATTCATTAGGGTTTTATTAGCGTCCCTTTCCCTGCCCCGACCAGCCCCATCATTCATGGAGGGACCCGATGACCCCAGGGCCATAAGAAGTAGGTGGTGAGGCGGGGACACGTGACAACCTCAAAGGGCACGTGTCACGGTGGGCGGTGGCAGTGGGGCGAGCCCAGGACTCCGACACTGGCATCTGGTCAAGGCCTCCTCTGTGACTCCAGGGTGGCCCCTGGGGACTGGGCACCCACCTGGGGCCAGACACAGGAGGCCACTGGCGCAGGCTGCGCTCCCGCTTGAATGTGGAGCTGCAGCACTGACCTTCCTCTTCTGACCCTGAAAAATGTTCTGCTCTCGTGGTTACGCCCGGCTCAGGTACCGTTGTTTGCACAGCGTCATGTGACGGATCAACACCAGGACACGTGCCTGCTGCCTGTCCTTTTATTCTTGCCCGCCTTTCTCTGTTTGCGGTTCTCATTGTTCTGCTTACCCATTCACTCTTCTCACCTAAAACAAGACAAAGTAATGCAGCTGGGCTAGCACCACGGACCACACCAGGGGTCTCTCCTCTGCCTGGTCCGTGCTGGTCCTTCTTCTCGGCCCCCAGCTCACACCCGTGAGAGCCGGTATCGCACAGGGAGACTGGGCAGAGAGCATAAGGCCCAGCCTGGGTTTCCCCATCTACCTGTGAGGGCCCAATACTGACCCTAAGCTTGGGGGTGGGGTCTCTGAGAATGGAGCCCGCAACAGGGTATTTACATGACTTGATGCCTTCCTTCCAGAAAGTCTTTCTCCCCTGGGTGCCCCTTCAGCAGACATGACTTCCCCCTCCTGAGCCTCCAGTCCCTCTCTTGGCACCCTGTGACCTTGCAGTGGGGTTAGCTGCGCCCTTGTCCACACCACACACCACAGACACAGGCTCTGGGAAGATGAGCGAGCACCCTGGACACACCTCACACACAGACGGTGCCTGGTACAGCCACACTCATCTGCTTAGGCGTCCAGGGCGTGGTGCGTGCTTGAGCCGTCACTGCCCAGGCGTTCGAGTCCATTTCCGATGTTCCTATGAAATGTCCAGGACACTTGTGTTAATTTTCTTCTGTAACAAAGTACCACAAACCAGGTGCCTTAAAACAACAGCAATTCATTTTCTGACGGTTCTGGAGACCCAGGGAGAGTCTGTTCCATGCCTCTTTCCCAGCTTCTGGAGGTTGCTGGAGAGCCTTGGTGTCCTTGGCTTGCGGCAGCATCCCTCCAATCACTGCCGTCAGCATCTCACGGCATCTCCCTGTGTATGTGTTTGCATCTCTGCCCAAATTGCCCTCTCCTTGTAAGAAGACCAGTCATTGGATTAGGGCCAATAGAAAACCAACACAGGTCTCAACGTTTGATATGTAAACTTTTAC